CCGGGGGCTTCCCATCATGCACTGAGTGTTTCTTCTTTACTCACCCTTTTCACTAACTTGGTGCTTACGCACCATTCTGCATCTAATGAGTAGTCACTATTTATCTCTGACTCTCTTCCACATACTTTTGTCCTGTCTGTCTTCCCTCACCCCGACTGGTTGCCGTTACCCCTCTATGAGTCTGGTTGTTACAGAGATTTCTTCCTGTTAAAAGGGGGGTTTTCCTACCCACTGTTTCCAAGTGCTTGCTCAAAGAGGATCATTTGATTGTTGGGGGTTTCTCACTATTATTGTAGGTTCTTTACCTTACAATATAAAATGCCTTTTGAATGAATTGTGATAAAACTTCATATGGGGGTGCAGACTGGGGCCTGATTAACTATTAATTAAAATCTGACTTACAGCCATCCCGATCGTCAAGGTAAAAAATTTACTAAAGCTTTATAACCTAATATATTGTGTAGAAAGTATTAAAATTTAAAAGATCAGGTCACATTTTAAAAGTTATATTAATGGAATATAGAGCTATTTAAAACTGTTTTCTACTTCAATTTGTTTGTACTGACAACATATAGGAAATGATATATGGATATTCCAAGTATGACGCCACTTTGGACCTCTGATCTCTTCTTCAAGGTCAAAAAATGTCAAACTTTCATAAAATTGTGCTTAAAATTGTGCTGCCTTTGTTTTGTTTTTTTGCAACATTCAGGATATGACATCACATTATAGTTTGCATCTAAATATCATGATGCCTGATCTCAAATTTTACTTTTTTAATTTTACTTACTTTCTTTCAAGTTGACTGCAAAGTGCATTAAGACTTTAATGAAAGTATTGTACAGAGAAAGATAAATGACTGCCTAGTTAGTTAGAGATATAGTAGTTTTTATATAATAAGCTCAAGTTATTCTTTTCCAGTTTTTTAAAAATCAGTGCCTATTATTCATTACCTATTGTGATATAATGTTTGTATAATCAAATGAAACATCTGTCACGCAACCCTTACAGGAGTTTCAGTGCACTGCAAACTGCTTAAAGTATGTTTTAACAAACAAAGAAAACTAAGTAATTATATAAATGCAATACTGCCCTAAGAGTGAGCTGCCTTGGTGAAGGACAGTCTCAGAGTGCTTCTTGTTAAATTAGGTATTTCACTGATAAGGTCATTTAGTCAGGATGTGTAATGGACTGCATTACATCGAGACGTGTTCATAATTTTCCTTCACCTATGGAAATAGCAAAAATACTTAAGTAATAATAATAGAAACACCAACTTTAAATATAAATTCAAACTTTTTGTCAAAGTGTTGTGCCCAGGCAGGCATACTATAACATGAGTACGTGTTTTTTACAACATATGTGTACCTCTTTTTCCTAAGTTTTTTTTTTTGCCTGCATTTGTGACCTCTCTTTCTCCACCCATTAATCTTTGTTCATTTATTCTTTCACACAGAACAGGGGAAAAGTCTACAGTGTTAACTATCTCAAGGCCACGTTGGGGTACAAGCAGATAAAAACCGTGGTTCCCAGACCCTGACAAACAATACCCAGCGCAGCATCCCAGTTTTGTCGCTCCTATCTCCTCCTCCGACCAGACGTTCGAAACCAACCGCAGCCTTTGTCTGCAGCCAGTCTTACGTGTTCATCCACCATGGCCTTTGCATTCATTGTCATGACAATGCTTTTGGGCTCTTCCATGATGATGGCATTTGTCTTGGATCCATCCAGGAAAGAACCTGAAGCTGCTGTCTTAGGTCACAGGTCAGTATCAATACCAAATCAGAACCTCTGCAATAACCACACCACAATTTTGCGTGCCTATGTAGTTTTTGTTAGTACAGCCATCTATTTGTATGATGTTTTAATTATGTTTTGGGAATGTTTCAAGGAAATCTTTCTCTATTGTTCAGAAATCAGAGTGAGCTGTGTGCTGATGCACGTGCGGTGAGGTCACATGGGTTAAATAGTAAATTCAGTGTGTGATTCAGGGTCATGTTGCCCAAATGGTTTTCAGGGAGAGCTGCACAGAGACATAACAGACTGTTCTGTTCAAGCTACAGTAATGAAATCAATCACACTTGTCTCACTTCAGCCAAACATCTGCAAACCACTAGTCCACGAGGGTATTTGAGGGTATCTAGAAACCAACTACTTTTTCTTTTAATGCTGTAAAAACAACAAAGATTACTTTCTTTTATTTTTTTCCAACACAACATTGTACGTGATGTTCAGGTGCCAAGGTGAGTCATGGCAGTCCATCAAAAAGAACCTCCTTGGGGTTCTGAACTTGCAGACTGAGCCGCAGCTACCTGCCGGTGCACTGGACAGTGTCAGAGAGCAGTGGAACCGAACCTTCAGCATCATTTCTCACACAGCCAAGCATACTGCAAGTATGTGAAATCAAAAGATACACAGAAAAATGTACCACCCTCAACCTAGCGCTTAGTGGCAGTCAACTCTAAAGTCTTACAGTGCCTCTGTATCTCCTTCCACCCCCCGCAGTCCCAGGCTACTCTGCATCAGCTGATAATCAAAACAGTGCGAGCCTGAACTGTTGCTCCATTGCCTCAGAGATCTTTATGAAAGGTGTGTAACAACACATTGTTATTTATGTGTAACAATAATACTGGTATGCAGCATTTTTCAGTACAGTAATCAAGTGTTTAATTTCCCAGATCTGGGCTGGGACAGCTGGGTGATCCAGCCCTTGAGTCTTACCTATGTTCAATGCGCAACCTGCAACTCTGCCATGACCACTGTGCAATGTCCATCACACCAAGTAAATATCCAGGATGCCAACACACAGGTATAGTTAACAAAGACATTATTACAAGAGAATAATTCACTGATTTATATGTTTTTGACTCACATTTACATCTATAGATATTTATATGTTGTGCTTTAGTCCCCCAAAAAACAAAACCTGGCATAGGAAATTCTCAGAGGTGTGTGGGAACAGCACGATGCTTAGATTTATGATGTACTTTGTTATTTTCTACTATGCTGCCTAAGAACAGCACGTATCTTACCTTGGTGTGCTCTGGAGGCGAAACAGCTGCATGTAGATAAGCACGTGTACTTCTTCTTCCTGCCAACATAAATGAACTTGACCAAAAACAAGCCAAGGCATTCCACAAAGTTCATCGACCAGAAAAAGCGTGACAGCAGGAGAGTATTGTGGAAACAGAACAGTAAATAAAAATCAAAACTAGAAGCTGAAGTGTTTGTTATTTTGTTTAAATCATTTCTATTTAAACAAAATAAAAATGTAAATCATTTCTTGACACCTTGCTTTATTTGGTGTGGAGCAGAGCAAGTCCTGCACACTCTAAATGTTTATGGGGGTTTTTTTTCACTGAAATATGACAACAATACAATTTTTAAAATGCTTAAGCGTCAGCTCTATAATCATGAAAATATGCACCGTGTCTGATTCCTGCTCTCTTTATCTTTTCCCAGGACCAGGTGCCATGCTGTCAGCCCATCTCCCATGAAGTGGTGCCCATTGTCTATATGGATGAATCCAGCACCATTGTCATTTCCTCCATGCAGCTGACCCGCAGCTGTGGCTGTGGGCTGGGCAACTCTGAGGATCCTGGCAAGGAGTAGGCTGTCTCGAGTGTGTGGTATGAACCGCTTGGCTTTTATACACACATCAAAAGAACAAAAAATCATATCCACAATTCTGTTCTCATACAAATGCTGCTTTTGTAGGTCGTCTTTCCCTTTTAAAATAGAAAGTGCATTCAGCACTGGCTCCAGAAACCAAAGCAAGTCTGGGCTTTCCATTCCTGCAGCTGCACTGTAATAAAACAGGAGTTTTGGAAAGCTGGACAATTATTGTTCAACTGATTTAACAGTAATTACACAATCTTTATGTCTTTGTCTGTAAGCGTTGAACCAAAGAAAGCTCCAGCCAACACATGTATGGTAAATCCTCACAGTCTGTCTTTAAATAAATCTCATGTGGACAGGCTACTATTAATAGCTGTTAACTATTACTGAGGAGAAATGTTCCCTGAAGAAATGTAAGACTTGAGCCAGACCCTCTCACAAGAGGATCAGGCTCTACTCTTAAAGCAGATCGTCTCTGATATGTAATCTTCACAGATTATGTTTCATGCTCACAAGATAAATTTAGCAATCTATTAATTTCTCTGGGACATGGGCATGACTTTCCATTGGTTATACTCTATATTTTCATGTTTCAACTGAGGAAAAAGAAAAACAATGTTGGCCCGCAAACCCAAAAACTGCAACTTTAAAAGTTCATAATTAAACTATTTACTGGTGATATGACTGACATGCTTTAACAGAGGAGAAAAAACAAGCTTCTGTTCACATTTAATTTTCATTCTGATTTGTCATATGTATATAAATTCTGCCAGTTGCAACAGTTAGATATTCAAAATTCAGATTCTTATTTTTGAGATTAGCTGCTTCAGTTTTATGTTTTTGTGGAGTAATTTACATTACATTATCTGACTGCTTTTATATACATTTACACGGAAGAATTCTTGTTTTTTTGTTTGTTTGTTTTCAAATGCATGCTTTTTTAATTAAGACTGGTGACAGCTCTTGGTTGTAATTTTATTTTGTTGTATACTCTGGCTTATTTTACAAAATTACCACCATGTTTTAAGTAATGCTTCACAAGTGTACTACTGCTTACAGTGCTATACAATAAAGCAATTTAGCATATTTAGATAAACCTTTTTTTTTTTTACTGTGCTCAAGACATTGTTTTCCCATCTTAAATCACTTGTACCATTCAATAAATTCTTGCTTATTCCAATAAAAGATTATAAATGATTTAAATCAGCTAATTTTTTTAATACTTCTCAGTTGCTATTGTGTAAGTATAATTCACAAATTAAACAAAATGCTTCACAATAAAACACAAGAAATAGAAGTATAAGAGATCACAACAATGCATTGTAACAGTCACAATTATGTGGTGTCTCTTTAAGACCACCTAAGTTAATGTTTAGTGATGTCACAAGTATGCGCCACTGCCCCCTGTAGAGTGTGTGAGAAGCGTGCTGGCACATGAACACATGGACTCAGATGGACCTCATATCTTTACCTCCTTAACTCAAAGTAACGTTACGAGTTGTATGAACACTGCTTGCTTCATGATAAGACAGCAGCTGTTCAACAAGGCCTTGTAAGGTTAGTGAAGAGTGTGTTTATTAAAGGACAAGCACTGTGGAATTCCCAGTACCAGTGTTGTCGTGGGCTGAGTGGTCCTCTCAACCACTGAATACAACCCACGTTACAGTATTCTTTATGTTATTCTCTGAACTGACATTTTTAAATAAAACTTTCCTTATACCAGCCCCTCGTGGCTTACTGCCAGCCACAGACTTGCTGTTAATTCAAGTGGGAGGGAAAAAGTAGATGATGAGGAAAAGTTGGCACAGTACTGTATAAAACTAGGTGTTGGTGTGAGGGAGAGCAACATGTTGCGTACTTCTGAGGAGCCTCTAATGTTTTTTTAGCTGCTGTACATGTAATCCTTTCCTGGCTGCAGTGAAATCCTTACATATAGTTCTAAGTTTAAAGTCTGTGAAGTTTCAGGTCTAGCTTAACATTGGCAGCTGCCTCGGTTTTTGATTAATGCTGGACAGAATGCCAGGACATATCGGCATATGGTTGTCTTTTGGCATACTGTGGCCACTTCTGCTGGCTGTCGGCGCAATTGAATGTTCAGAAAAAGAAACACTGATCAACCCGCTTCCCAGGAGGGTGATACAACCAAGTGACTGTTTAATGGAGTGTACTGGGATGACATACATCAAAAAATTGCAGCTTCAGGACAATCATAATATTCGGCTGTCAGACTCAACTGAAGGTAAGGAGACACAACATGACACCATCAACTCTGGGTTGGAGGCGTGCGGGGTGTTTGTTGCAAATTCAAATCTCAGGCTGTGTTCTGAAAATAATTCCTGAGAGACATCATCGCTAATTAAAGGGGTTCTGCTGCATCTATCTCCACCTGACTGACCTGTTTTATATTGCGCATGTGTATAGGCCTTCACAAACTAGTTTACTTTCCTAGGAGACCTCGGGGAATACTGTTGGCCTACTGACCTCAAGTGCAACATTGGTGAGAGCTTTTTGCATGCCTACGCGGTATTGCCTGTGGATATATCTGCTGTGGGACATGAGCAACTGGAGGTCAAAGCCACTGCTCCAGCTGCCACTACACTACACGCACATAACAGCCCTACAACAATCGCAGAGAGCTGCGGCCTTCGTTACGACGTCACACAGCATTTCAGCACACAGAACGCTGGGACATCGCTCTGCATCCAGGTTTCTACCCAGGAAGATGCTCTGGGGGACACAGTTCTTAAATGTCCTCCATATCTGGTCACCTTCTGGCAAAGAAGTCCAAATCAGCGCCAACAACAAAGTGCTGGATAAAATATCAGAGGTAGAGGTATCCAGATCTTTTAAGTAAAACCACCAATTAGGATATTAAATAATATGAAAGATCCTGCATTTTTAAACATTTTAATGGAAGTATTAGATGCAAATGTACAGAATGAATAAAAAAAAAGAACAGCCCCTTTGTCAGAAAGGAGATGGAGCTCTCTCTATAACTTATGGTGATTTTCTTTAAAAATTGGCATCGTTTGCTTTTCATTAATTTAAAGCTGCCACATACCCACAGGGGTTAGTATAAAATTGTCACACAGCTTGTTTTTTTTTATCTAGCTAATTTGATCATACCTGGAAGCTGGAAGTGTTACATTCTTATTGCTTATATAAACGGTTTAGACATTTTACTTTATTTGTTCTTTTCATACTTTGTATGTTAAAAGCTTACTTTCTAAGGTATCTAGTAAGTAAACCTTTCAGACTCATAGAATAGAATAAAATGTTCACTATTTCCTTGTGAGCTGTTTTGAAGCAACAAGTAACAAGTGTGTTTGGAAGTGGTTGTAATTTATACTTAAGTCGCCAACAGCAATAAGGAAAATCTTTTGTGGGTCTCCAAGGTCCAATAATAAAATAGGGTATCAGAGATGCTAGTAATGGATGGTTATGCTTGGATTGTAATTCAGGGGTAAGGCTGGGGCAGAAAAGATTAATAACTGTAATTTCTCTATATTCTTAAGCAAGTTTAGATTTATTCTCTAGTGCTCTCGTGTGCTTTTAAATCCCTTACCTGAGTGAACAGAAAATGAGAGTGAGGTCCACAAGTTCACTAAACTTGGAAAGCCATGTGAGTGATAGTAACGATATTATTTACTATTCTGACAAAATGCATTTAATGCACTTGCTATGATCAGTGAAGCTGTATACTACATTCTTTCAGAAATATGTGTTAAGATGATGATCAAGCATATGAGCATGATGACGTGGGTATTATGAACATTATATGGCACTTGTATTATCCACAATAATATTCTTTTGATATATTTTTGGTTTATGTGACTTCAGTTGTAAGGGTGTTTCGTGGCACTTTGGCTAAAAGGAGCAGATGGGGAATGATTGTAGATGTGTCAAGCACTCTGAAACTTTCAGGGCAAACTTGTTGCTCTGCTGACTTACTGAAAGGCAAAAAGCTATGTAAATGTTCTCTCTAAATGAAGAATGCAATGATGTTAATGTTGTGTTATAAGGGTTGATAGTTTAATATTAAACCATTTCATTTTCCTTTCACTCTCACATCTTTATTGAGTTTAACTATTTAAGAAAGCTATGATAAGATGTGATTGTAAACATATTTTTGCTCTTTTTCCCACTTCCATTTTGTCTGTTTGTTTATTTTATTCAGTTGTTATGCATAAAATCCTCACAAACAAATATCTTATTGCATTTCATTACTACACAAGGACATAATATACTGCCACCTCCTGGGTATGATGTAAACTAATGGAAGTACTGGAATTAAGTCCCGTTTACTGTCCATCCACTGGATGGCAGACTTCTTACAGGGTAGTACTGCACCAGACTTACAATCAGTATAAATAAATAATTTACTGCCATAAAAAAACTACAAGTAGGGTGAAACACCAGTTTCTCTGTGAAATGTTGAGCATTATTCCTGTCTTTTAACAAACACCATATTTCACATATTCCACCAAAATGTGGACAAGAAAATCCACAAAGGTGCTTCAAGTAGGCTCATGTTCCATTGCAGTTTTTGTGATCTGTCTCATAATAATGATCAGTTGTTTAAAATAATTAGTGGAATTATTCCTAATGATCAAAATATATACTAAAAGATCCATTCCAACTGCATGTTTAAATGATAAGCCTAGTATAAAAGAAAATCTGTTTGAATTGACTAATCAATCACAGCGTTAGTTTGGTCATGACAAAAAGTCATCCTAAGCAAACCTTGGCAAATCTCAGTGCCAGAATACATCAGCTGATGGCTGAGCTGATACTCTTTAATACACAAAATTGGAAAATTTCATGTAGTCTGTCTACATTTACTGAACATCTGCAAGTGGTTTTGCAAACCACCCCATCCCAGCTCTCTTCTCTGCATGACATAATCAATGCCATATCTGTTGTTATTGATGTACTGTTTTGTATGGATTGAAGGGGTTTGGGTGGGCAGTGGGGGAAAACCTTTTTTCTGTTACAGTGTAGACACACTATTAAGCCTGAGCACTATTAAGGCTTAAATGAAGGAGGGTTTTTGTTGGTGTGCTCTGCTGGCAGGCGACCAGGGGCAGCATAACATAACTCTCCTATTGGGCCTCCAGACAGACCTTTCTCCGAAATGTCATGAAAGGTGTGACAAAGGTGAAGAGTGAGTCAGGACATTCTGCCTGTCTTAATCACCACCAACAAACAAATCACAAGAAAGTGTGAAAAGAAAAGAAAAAAGGTATCTTGTGTGTTTAAAAGCCAGTCATACTTGCCTTTAAGCTGTCTGCTTTCTTACGGAGTCATTTTTTAAGTTCAATGGATACATATTGCCAAGAACAATTTATTCATGTGTCCCCTCAAATGATCTTATTTATGAATGGATATTAGTCAAATATATCAAACAGGACCACACAGGACAAAGGGGATGATTTCCCTAAATCAGATTTTTTAAATCTCTCTTTTTACATATAATCATGAGATCAAATGATTATTTGCTGTAGGGTTTTCAATACTAAAATTATGGCAAGAGCTCACTGTAAATAATAAATATTATAAAATAAAGCATTGTTTTTGTTTATGTACATTTTACATGTTTTGTTATATCATATTATAATAAAATTACTTACTTATTCTCTATCTTTCCTTGTTTTACGTAATAATTCTATTCATTCTATTCTTCAGGTGCCGACAACCAAGTTAAATCACGATGGAGCACGTAACATGTAAATATAAACACAGGTGGCTGTACCATGTGTCTCAGGCAGGGGTAATTGTGAAAAGTTTGCGCAAACCCCTCTAAAGCAGAAAAAACGATTAATAATGTTGCCCCTATTGGACTCTTTCGACACATTTATTTTCGATATATACTTAGAAAAGCAAATCGACAGCTTTAGCAATCTTTTTTAACAAATTTGAGTGTATAAAACTGAGGTTGGTCCCCGGATGGCTAAGAAGAGTAGAACAATCCACTAGGCAGACAGAGTGGAGAGCCCAAACACGTAGTGGCAGCAGACAACTATCAAACAACGTCGTCCTGACAGTTTTTAAACTAACAACCCACCTTCACCGGTAAACAATGTGACCAAGTGAGAAGAAGACCTCGGCGAGGACTGTGAGAGACGCATGACAACCAACTTTGGTTGTTGTGAGACGCACCATGACATCTCAGCCGAGGTAGGCAGACACAGCCGACGCTAGCAGCTACTAGCTGAACGCTAGCTTCCCAGTCCGACCCGTCGGAGTAAGTTAATTAGTTGGATAAGGTCAGCCTGCTTGGTGGCAGCGCTCCGAAGGGTTTATCTGAGGCCAGGTTTAGCTTGAAACTTTGTTGAAATGTTAGAGTTAATTGTTATTTTGTTTACAGGTTAAACTAAAAGCCGTGCAGGGTTTTAGCTCTGTAAGCATTTCGAGGAAGAGGTGGAATCAGCTGGAAACTGCAGGGTCGTGTGAGTTTTAGCAGCTGGGTTAACGGGGCTTGTGTGTTTATAGCAGCTGTTTTGTGTTTTCAGACTGCACATTTTACGTTCATGTTTGGAGAAAACGTACCGCTTAATAACTCACGGATTATCAAACCTCAGCCGTCGTTTCTTAAAAACTTGGATTTAGTTGGAAAACAGCTGGAGTCGGAAGTGTGTGGGCGTCCAAAGCTCTTAAAAAACGCCGTGTGTGTGTGTGTGTGTGTGTGTGTGTGTGTGTGAGTGTGACTATATCTGAATATATCTGCCGCGACCAGTTGTGGGTGAGGGGAGGGAGACGAGATAAAAAACACACTATTAAGAAAGAGCTTAATAATAACTGATGATGGAGTGCACAATGCAGTGAGAGAATGAAAAGGGGTGAGTCTAGAAGAAATGCTCAGTGAATCATGGTAAGCCCCCAGCAGCCTAGGCCTATTGCAGCAAATCTAAGGGAGGGTTCAGGGTCACCCGATTTGCTCAAACTATAAACTTTATCAAAAGGTTAAGTTTTAAACCTAATCTTAAAAGTATTGAGAGACAGGGAGTCTGTCTCCCAAACCCAAACACAGAGCTGGTTCCACGGAAGAGGGTCCTGAAAGCTGAAGGATCTGCATCCTATTTTACTTTTAAATATCCTGGGAACTACAAGCAAGTAGTCTATGAAAATGTTTGCTATGCCTTCTAAGGATACTGCCCTAGTGAAGCTTTTATAATGTAAGAAAGCACTGGTCCCAGCACAGAACCCTGTGTAACACCTTTTTATATGATTCATTTATATGAACAAACTGTTTGATAGATTTGCTTCGAACCACTGCAGCACAGTACCTTTAATACCTGTGTCATGTTCTTATCTGTATAGTAAAATATTGTGGTCTATGGCAGTGAATGCTGCACTGAGGTCTAGCAGGGCAATCATAGAGAGGAGTCCACTGTTGCCACAAGATGATGAAGTGTAAATCCTGACTGCAACTCTTCAAATAAACCATTCCTCTGCAGATGACCATTTAGCTGGGTTTTTTTTTTTCCCTTTCAAGAATTTCTGAAATAAGAGGAACATTGTTGAATAGTCTGTAAATTGGCTGAGACAGCTGGGTTAAGTGAGTATTCAGTATCAGGTTGATGGGTTTTGAAATATATCTGCCCTGCTTGGCAGCTCAAGTTCTCTATATGTCCCGAGTCTCTTTATAGAGGTCATTAATCATTTCAAAAGGGCAAGAGAAAGTTGTTCACTAATGTCGCAACTACTGCCTATTTTGTAGAATAATTGATTTATCTAGAAAATAAAAGCCATGGGTTCATTCTTAAAGACAAAAGTGAAAAGCTAGACTTCTGCAGTGAAGGAATCCTTTGGTTCTGCTGGGGGCACTTCTGTTGGCAACCCCCATGCCAATAGAAGTGATGTGAATGGCTTTTGAATTCCCAAATCTCAAACCACTTATAATACTTTGACGAAGGAATGATTTTAAAATGGGGAGATCTGTCGGTGACATCTTCCAATTACTTGATTTGTCTCACCAAAATTAAAAAGTGAAGATAAAATCAATCTAAGAAATATATAACCATGAGTAGTAATCCTCTTCCCACATTTTTAGACAATACAGTAAGAAATAAGTAATCATTTTTACCCTTTATTTACCCTTTTTTTTTTTTTTATTTTTTTTTTTTTAACCCCTCAGTTGTAAAAGGCTGATAAGGTATTGTTATCACACTGCTGGACGGGAGGGCAGGGGGCGGGGACCCTAAGTTTGTAAATGCAATAGGACCATACAGGAGCTCCAAATTCATACCATAGGTCTATCTACTAAAAATCTCAGGCAAGTTTGAGTCTCGGTGATCTTGACATCTAAACTTGAGGTCAAGATGACTTTTTCTGAGAACCTTGTGAATGCTATAAATCTAGAATTAGGCAAAAGTGCTTCAAAGGCAAAGCAGCGTGGTCAGTCATGGCACTGACTGTCAGCCATTTTCAACAAAGTTTCAAGATGTAATTTTACCTCATACTACCTTTGGAAACTTGAGTATCTTTGCCATAGAGGTGGTTCTGCATTCTCTTAAATTTGAGACAGATTAGAAGTATGTGTAACATTTGACAGGATAACTTGATAAAACTGAGTCGCTTTCTAGGTTGGATTGTTGTCTTTCTATATTTATCTGATTTGAGCCCTCAGATTTTGTGACCGCTGTCTCAAATTGCTTTGAATTTGTGTTACCACTGACACTGCAAGATCTTTCATCGAACTGTGTGCATGCATGTGTGCGCGCGTGTGTGTACTGTAGGTGGAATTTGCGTCCTTTTGCCGTTTCAGTATCGGTACTGCTTTCTTGTGGGTAATTATGCAAGGTTGTTATTTTGCTGTTTTGTCCTGCAGTCACCTAGTTTGTGGTATTTTTGTCTTCTGTGACTGGCATTTGTATGCTAGAGCTTTCTCATTCTTCTGTCTCCCAAATTCAAAGGAGTCAGCCAGACTCAAAGTAGTTGACATGATCCCACAGAGGGTTATCTGTATTTTATTTATTTATTTTTTTCTTTGACCCCCTCCACCCCCCTTGCTGTCAGTATGCTAAAGGACACCTCAAGTTCAGTCACTGCTAAACAGCCCTGGTCCCTCACATCTCTTATTTTCTGCCAGCTGGCTCCTTAGTTAGGTCTTTGTTGTTGTGGCCTTCGGCATCATTCAGCTGCCTGAGTGTCTACTCCCACAGTCTGACAGACTCCAAAACCCCTGCCTTGGACTGAAGACACTGGACATATAAACCTGGACACCGCAGTGTGGAGGGTGGACAGTGGTGCTGTCCTTGCTCCTGTCGCCTCATAACGAGGAGGTTTAGGGTTCAAACCTGCTTGCTGGCTGCAGTCTTTCTGTGTGGAGTCTGCATTCCCCCACCATGTTAGTTGAACTTGTGATTCTAAATCAGCTATAGGCTTGGAATATGCCAATTTATCTCTTCTGTGTTAGCACTGTGACCTGTCTCAGGTGTAACCCACCTGTCACCTTTTGACTGATGGAATATTCTAACTACATTCTCAAATCTAAGATGGATTAGCAGAAAAAGTGTATAAAAAGACAATTAATAGAATCTTTTTAATGGTAATTTTTATTGTAGATGTGCTATCAATAAAAATTAAATTCAAGTCTGTGGAAAACAGGCTCTGTTGTCTTTGATTATTCTGTATTTAACATTTCTGTATGCCTTTTACTTTCTATAAGATACTTGGGTTGTTTCACTTGTGCATCATTGTTATCACCATATACAATCTTCAGAACAAAAGCTTTCATGACTGTTTTGAAAGACTAGCCTGTAATTTTAATATAATCAGCTGTATTGTTTACCCCTTACTGTTTCTGAGGAAGAGCATGTTACTGGTTTGAGCTTTCAGAGGTGTTTGGCCTTATGCATTTGGCTTAGTCCCAAATTTTTGCTGCTCCACTTGTTGCCATGGAGGCATTCCACTGGGGCCGCTCTCAGCGAGGACGATAACACTGTTTTGGGAAGAAAACAGAAATTTCAAAAGGTACATTAAATGCTTAGTTTGCGTGAGTATATCCAAAGTATGTAGCATGGTATCGATTTTCCTCGGAAATGCTTCCATTACACTGTTTTTCTACAGTATAATTTATTATTGTAAACAAGCTTTCTGCCAGTGACAGAATATCCGGACTATTAGTTATAATCATCTATTTTATGTCTGAAGAGCTGCATGTTATCTTTGGGGACTAGAAAGAACAGATGTGAATGTTTTTGGTGAATCCTCAGGGCACCTGTGAGTCCAATTACAAATGTCTGTTGATATGACGGGTGGCACCTTCTCCCATTAGACCTTGTTGCTCTGCCTCTGGGGTAAATAAGAGTATGATATGATGCCCTAAAATTGCAGTCACTAAATTTTAGGATCTCTTAAGCCAAACCCAGTTTCAGCAATAATGTCAGAAAACAAATAAGGGCTGCATTACAGTCTTAAACCATTTAGTTAACCATGTCTCCATAGTTTGATGGTAAGCTTTCCATTTTATTGTCAATCTCTGTGTCTGGCTATTTTGTTAAGCTGGTATACTTGTAAAAGCAGTTCAGTTAACATCTGTCTTTCTTTGTAATCCTCTGCAGTGCACACGATGGAGAGAGGCACCTCCTTCGCCTCCGAGCATGGCAACAGAGGGTCCAAGAAGCCAGCCAAACCCAAGAACCTAAGCCTGAGAATGTACCCCTTTTTGGGGAGCCATACAAGGTAAAGCATGCACCTGTAAGTTTTAATTCTTGTGGTTATGTATAGCAAGGTTTTCTTCTTTTTTTTTTTTCTTTTTTTTTTTATGTTAATGACTGCAACAGAGTGACATTGTGACAGTATGTGCAGAACAGGTTTAGGCAGTTTTTACATCGTGAATACAATATCTGGTGTACTTGATACGCATTTAAAGAGTCCTGCCAGATATTCCTTCTTTAGTCTTTGCATCCCAGTCTTTACCACTTTCATTGCTGTCTTTAAATCTATTCAGTCTCCTGGAAAGTGAACATTACTGATCATGCTAACTCACTATAAAGAGGATTTAAAAGGGTTTTTTCCATTGCCTTATTTTTAATTGATGGCTAATTGTAGCAACTTTTAGAAAACTATTGAATAAGAATAAAGTTTTGTTTTGTTTTTTTGGTTGTTTTTTTTTCCGAATGTGAAAAGAGAAGGACTGTATGTAGCCTGATAAAAGCCGAGGCCTTGTGGTCAGCTTTTTATTTATTTATTTTCATTCAAAATACTCCCTCTCCTGTGTGGCTGAAGACTTTTTTTTTAAATATCTATTTGTTAATTTCCCTTTATTGGTTTGTATGTATTTGGGTGTGAGCACCTATGCAGCTTTTCTTAGTCCATTTTAGAGGATATATCATATGCCAGGACTTTGGTGCCTGAGGGGTTTTGTGTTTGCTAGAACACAAAACTCCTCACTCTCTGTCACTCTCAGCTGTGTGTGGATTATGTTTGTGAACTAGACGCAACCAGACAGACTTTGAGTTTGGGGCAGTTATGTTTGGAAAAATGCTTTATAGGCTGAATATAGGCCTTCTATTAACATGTTGATCCTTTTTGTAGACAAACAAAGGAGATGAACTCTCCAATCGAATCCAGAGGATGCTGGGCAATTATGAAGATGTGGATACTCCCTCACCACTTTCCATTGAGATGATACCCACTCCCGCTTATGCAAACCTCTCACAGTCGGATCAGGGTCAGTTAAACACAGATAAATCAACCAAACCTCCAATTCAGAACCAGGTCCTTTCCATGTCCACACAAAGCCAGAAGGAGCCTTCTAGTAACTCCTTGCACCCCATGAGAGGAGTTACTACCACTTCCCCGACTCACCATGGACATTCATCCACTTTCTCAAAGCCACCTTTAAACCACAGTCAGGGCAGTCAGCTTAACCACTCAGCACATCATCAACAACAACAAAAGAAGAACGAAGTCTTCTCAGACCTCAGGGACCGTGCCAGTCTTTACCACGAAATGTCTGATCAGTCTGACGATGTTAAGCCGCTACCCTTCCTACATTCCAGTGACCATAATCACATGGACACGGACACTAAAGACACTGTTGATGAATATCAAGGGTCCACAGACCATGCCTCTGAGTCTTCCAGCAATGTAGATGTTTCCATATTGAAAATTAAACAATCCCCTAAGGATGTATCACTGCCTGAAGCTAACAAAACTAACGCACTACCCTCCCAGACGTTTCCTCTCCTGTTGTCATCTAAGCAGCCCAGTGTGGTCATGACCCAGAAGCCAACAGCATACGTGCGGCCCATGGATGGGCAGGACCAGTTGGTCACAGAGTCACCTGAGCTAAAGCCTTCACCAGAACCATATGCACCACTGCCAGAGTTGATAGGCAAGTCTGACCTGGGTAAAACAAAGAAAGCGCCACAATTTTTGGAGGTGAGTTAATTGTCTTAGATATTACAGCTTAGCAACTGTGAAATGTGCAGGGTTTTTTTTTTTGAGTAAAATAACAATGACAAAGTACTTTAATTTATTTGAAAAAACATGAATGGAATGCATTTATAGCACTTTATCCAATTTTGCCTCCTATACTCTTGTTACTAACTGCTAGCAGTGGGCTACCATGTTGCTAGCCCAACTGTCAAAACTTTGTTGGGGTTAAGGGTTAACAACACTCTCTCTTCCAGAACAACAATGCCTAAACAAGTTGATGATGGTGCTATGATAAATGCACTTTTCGGGATGCATTATAAATAATAAATAGGTTTGAGTGTATCGAGCCAGGAGAAAGTTAACTTGGCATAGATGCCACACAGCCAGTAAAAGTTAAGCTTTTTTTTTTTTTTGCCTTATCACTTGTACCTGTGTAAAGCAAACAAGATGAAACCTACCAGTTAGCGATAGAAAGAACAAGGTTATTTGTTTTTCACTCTCAATGCCAAGCTAAGATTTCTAGTTCATTCATTCATCATCAAGTGGTAATGTTGCCAGGAAACAAATGTCAAAGTATTAATTTAAAAGAAAAGTCAGAAATGGTAGTAAAAGATAGTCTTACCATTTCAAGGTTGGCTACTGCCACTTAAAGCCATTCATTCTGTCAAGCTTGTGATATTAAGCCCACAACAGTCCAGAACTGGAGGGAATTTGGTTTTGTTAATAATGTGCATTATTACAAATACAGTTGTATTACTGGCAAATTATCTTTTACTATGTCTCCACAATTTGTGGTGATTCTACTTGATTGTTCACTACGTTGAAAACATCTTGTTCATTTTTTTTTGTTTTTTGAGAATTTGGCAGAACTCCAGCTGAACTCTATTCATCTGTTCTCTATCACACGCACAAACATACACCCAACCCTTGCACCTGCACTGCTCCGCACCTCCCCCTTACCCTCCTGCAGCAGCAAATCTGTGTGAATAAGCTGCTGTATTTGCTGCTGGGACAAATCCAGTGCAAGATAGCTTCGCAGTGACTCACTTGGATTTCTTACTAACGCCTCATCTGTATACGGCTATAGATGTCTTATGAACTGTTCTGTTGTTAGAAACACAATGTAATCACTGTTTCATTTTACAATCGGATGAGTTCTACATTATTTATCACAAGAGTATGGAAACTCCTGAAAACGATGCAGCGTCTTGAAAGTTTACTGTGTAAATATTACATAATGTCTTTTGAGCACGTGCTCATGTCTTTCTCAGGTGGACAGTATGATGTTGCAAGCAGTCTGTGTTTTGTGACCTCAGCTAGCTCTGATAAATTCACCCCTAGGCTCAGCAGAACAATAAATGAGCTTTGTCACCAACTTGCATAACTGCTCTGGGGCCCATTCAGTCTGACCTTATCTCAAACACTATCCATTCAGAAGGAAAAACTGGGAGAGACTCCTGAAAACAAACAGAAATGTAGCATGTGGACTTATGTGTTTGTAGTATTTATCTACTGTAGCTGCCTGATATAGAGTATTGACAGTTGTTGCTTATTTTAAATGTTTAATCAGAAACACACACCTCAACCTACTGTTTAGTCAAATGTCATACATACAAAATACGATTCTCCACCCTCTTATGGAGAAGTCTTTCTGTATCTAGCACAGGGATGAAATTCTTTTTTTCTTATTATCTTATAACAATATTAATTACTATTACTTTTGAAAACTATACAATTTTCAGTGCTGATGAGGGACAGCTATTGCATTATCGCTGTCTCTTGGCTATAAATTTTGGAGTTAATGATGTGAGATGTTGATCTTTATTTTGTTTAAAGATCTTTGGGTACTTTCAGAAATGAATAAGTTTTGTTTTTCTCCGTAGACAAAGACAGATGAAGCTCAATGTGTGGAGGACATCTTAAGGGTAAAAATACCTGCTTGCGTTCTTATTTTCAATTCAAAGGCAAAGGATGAAATTAACAAACGTGTTGGGACTCCAGTGAGAGTGTATGCAGCATGCACTACACGTACAATAAATATCCTTTTGTTTTTTCTCTCTATAGGAAATGGCTCATGCTTGGCCACCTCTCCTAAAAACTATATGCACGCCAAGCACAGATGAGCCCCCCAAGTCCCCTTTCCTAGCCAAGGTAAAAAATCTGATTTTATGTTTCACGTGTCTATATAAGTGCAGGGGTCTTGGTTGCCTCATTATTTCCTTCTGTCAAACTTGAAATTATTGAGCAGAGGTCAGTCACTGTAGGAGACAGAATAAATCTTAATTCTTCTAAGGTGCTATAAAGTATTTTGTATCTTATAGTCTTCAATGAAGTCCAGATTGGCCAAGTTATTTTCTTTTAAACTATAGTCGTGCAAAAGCTCCCTCAAATTTTGACAAATTCACATCAAGTACTGTGGTGTGACTGAGTCGCACACTGGCAATAAGTCCATGCAGCTGTGCAGTGGCCTTAGACATTAGGAGATAATTTACACACCACTTTTATGCTTCCCCAAGGATGGATATTTTTGTCTTTCACTAGTGTCAGCCACAGGTCAACTTCTCAGTTACACAAGTCAAGTTAGATTACATCTGTGATTAAATTAGCTTTGCTTTTGTGTTTCTCAGAATAATCTTTTCATGACCGCTAAAATCAGCACAAGAAAGCTTTAAAAGCTGTAACATAGGTCTTGTTGCTAAAGCGTTTATCAGTTGAGCCTAAACGTGGGCATAAATGTGCAGATATAGATCAAGTACAAGTATGACCTTGATTAACAGTAGCATGTTTCTTTATCTGTCTTTACAGGAAGCAAAGCATGCCTCTTCATGTCCAGGACAGAGTGAGTGAAGCGAAGAAGTATTCAGTCATAGATCAAGCAACCTTAGTTAGAAATGCTATATTCTATACCATCTTGAAAAATCGGCAGTGAATGCAAAGCAGGTGCTAGTCTGTTATGTTTGTGGTTGATGGTGGTAGCAGGCGACTCTGTCATGTGATCTATTAAACAGGCTCTGTTCTGTGGCCACAGATCTGAGAAACCACCCACAGTTTTATTTCATCTTATCTAAATGAGAGAAGTAGTGAATGGTGTTTTACTTCTTAGTTTCCACTTGGTATTGTTTTCACTATGATGCCTTTCATTTAAGCAACAGCTCTGACCTATCAAGGCATGGATGGAGGACCTGTGAGGGTCTACTATTGTGTCTGGCACTTGAACATTGGCATCAAGTCCCTTGGGGTCCTGTGGTTTGAGGTTGCTCAGTTAGAGTGAGATCTGGAGAGCTTGATGACTGCATCATTGCCTTGCACCCTTTGTAATGTTCCTAAAGCTGTTTCTGAGCTGTTTTACAGTGTAGTCTGGCATATGGTAATGCAGGAGTAGGCTCCTGCCTGGAGAGTGCCATGCGCATGTACACCCTGCTTTGGGTAGTTTGTAGATGTCAGTGTATAAATGCTTAAATGGTAGGAATCCCAGGACAACAGATCATGATCAGTATCATTTATGTAACATTTCTGGATATCAGTGGATTTTTCCATCAACTTTTTTTACATGAAATGAATTAAGTACAACTCTGGTGCTCTCTCAAAGATGGAAAAATGTTCTATAGGGAAAGTGAGTGGAGGCAGTGTATTAAGTCTTCCTTTAGCTAGACATATTGGTTAAATGTCACCAACTTTCAGGTCCTACTGGCAAAGGCGGATGTGCAGTTACTCAGTAACTCCCAGTGACTCCCAGCTGTTGAAGTACCTGCCATCAAATATGGGGGG